CTACTACTACTACTACTACTACTCACTACTAGTACTACTACTACTACTACTACTACTACTACTACTACTACTACTACTACTACTACTACTACTACTACTACTACTACTACTACTACTACTACTACTACTACTACTACTACTACTACTACTACTACTACTACTACTACTACTACTTACTACTTACAACTTACTACTACTACTACTACTACTACTACTACTACTACTACTACTACTACTACTACTACTACTACTATACTACTACTGCTACTACTACTACTACTACTACTACTACTACTACTACTACGACTACGACTACGACTACGACTACGACTACTGCTACTAATTTTACTACTACTTTACTGCTTACTACTAATGTTACTACTACTACTACTACTGCTACTACTGCTACTACTACCACTACTACTACTACTACTACTACTACTACTACTACTACTACTATTACTACTTACTACTACTACTACTACTACTACTACTACTGACTACTACTACTACTACTACTACTACTACTACTACTACTACTACTACTACTACTACTACTACTACTACCACTATTCCTACTCCTACTCCTACTCCTGTTGCTCATACTCCTACTCCCTGCCAGTGTCCTTTCTTCCTTCCCTCCCTCCTTCCTTCCCTTCTCCTCCTCCTCGTCCTCCTCGTCCTCCTCTTCCCCAAACCTAGGGCCCCGGTCCTCCCCGTCCTCCCCCTCCCTCCCTCCTCCCTCCCCTTCTCCTCCTCCTCCTCCTCCTCCTCCTCCTCCTCCTCCTCCTCCTCGGTCCTCCTCCTCCTCCTCTTCCTCTTCCTCCGCCTCCTCCTCCCTTTTTTTTCTCCCCCTCTCCCCCCCCTCTCTCGCCCACCTCCGTGTCTTCGCTCCCTTCCCCTCCCCCTTCACTCTCCTTCCTTTCCGCATGGTTTGCTTTTTCCTTTCTGCCCTCCCGTCCCCATTCAGGGGGTTGGCGGGGGTGGCATGGGTGGGCTTGCTCCGACAAACCAGCCCTAATCTTCAGCTCTCACGCCGTCGGCGGAAAATAAGTCAGCGAACCGTCTGTCTGGGGTCCACTACTTTGAATGTACCGGCCGATCCGTGCCTCGAGGTCGCTTCGCAAAAATGTGCGAGCAGGGCTGTCCGACGAAGGTGGCCTAACCAGACCTCTCGCTGGGGGGAGTTCTTCGGGTTGGTTCTACTTTGTTGCGCCCAGGCGGGGGCGGACATGTCCCGCCCTCCGATGCAGCCTGCCTGATGAGGGATTTTGACGGGGCCCGGAGACACACAAATAAACAGATACAAATAACAGGATCCCCTATAGTTTCCCATATGTTCTGGGTTTTCGCCTTCCCCCCCACTTCCCATACTTTCCCATCTTTTCCTGGGGATCGACGATGAATTGTGTCTGTGTGTGTGTTTTCCCCTCCTGAGATTTCTTGGCCCCCGGATCTCCGTCCTCACCTCAACGCGCTCGGTCGCGGGGCTGTGGGTTCCGAGTCCGGGGATGCAGGAGGAGAGGGAGGAAGGAGGAGGAGGAGGAGGAGGAGGAGGAGGAGGAGGAGGAGAAGGAGGAGGAGGAGGAGGAGGAGGAACGTACTTCTTAGTCCCCCCCCCCCGGGCACGCCCTCGGCGGGGCGCGGCTGTCCCCGGGGCCCCTGGTCTGCTCCTGGGGGGGAAGGCACGCCTCGTCCGCCCCAACGGGCGCAACACACTGGCACCAAATCGGAGGGCACCAACTATGCACCAACACCGATCCTGGCCCAGGATCACCCTGGGCCCAGGATCGGTGTATATGCCTTCTTGCGCAAGGCAGGGGGGCGTATACACCGATCCTGGGCCCAGGGTGATCCTGGCCAGGATCGGTGTTGGTGTATAGTTAGTGCCTTCCTACCAAAGCGTGAGCGCGCGCATTCGCTGTCCCCCCATGGGACGCCGAGCGCGCAAGGCCTACTCAGTTCGGAGTCGAAATTGTTGGAGGCCTGGAAATTGGCACCAACACCAGCACAGGGGTTTGCCTCCACAGGACGATGATGATCTTAGATTTCGATGTTGGTGGTAATATTTCGGTCACCTTGGAAGCCAGAATATTACCACCATCACCGAGATCGGGTTCGTCTTCCCTCGGTGGAGGCACACCGCCGATCTTGGTGTTGGTGTCAATCTCTAGGATTCCGAAATTGTGCTATTATGCTGTGTTTTTGTGCTGCACCCTCCTTTCAGGAGCTCCGGCCTCGGGACCAGGACGCATCACGGACGGCCAGACGATCCGGGACATCGTCTTACCCTTCCTCCCCTCCTCTGGCGAGGACCATCATGGTCCTCTGCCCCTCCGGGGGTGACCATCATAGGCGCCACCCCTCGGCAGCTACCATCATAGAGGCTGCTGGGGTCCCACTCCCATCAGTACACTAATCCATGAAGCCGTCATTGGCGCTGGAGGGGGCCGAGGCTCTCCCTACGTTTCCTCGGCCAACAAAGACGGCCGTGGGGAGGGGTGCCAACGTACCTCCACAACTCAGACCTTCAAGACCTTAAGGCGCCAATTGCCACCATTCCTTGTTTGCCTCCTCGCTCCTCCCTCCCCCCCTCCCCCTCTCTCCTCCTCCTCCTCATCATCCCTGCTCCTTCTCCCCTCCTTCTTCATCATCCTCTCCCTTCCTCCTCATCCTTCTCATCCTCCCTCCTCCCCATCCTCCCAGAGAATGTGACGACAGGAAGAGGAGGAGGAGGAGGAGGAGGAGTAGGAGGAGGGCGAGGAGGGCGAGGAGGGCGAGGAGGAGAGGGACGGGGCAGGAGGTGTTGGCAGCCGAACCGATCTGGTCCTGGGGAAGGGGTCGACAGGTCGGGGGGGCCCAGGGGCCTGAAGGAAGCAAGCCGCCGGAGGCCTGGGCCCCAGGGCCCCCGGAGTCGGCGGCCCGCGAGGCCCCGACGCAGGCGGCGCAGAGGAAGGAACGAAGCACGGGGCAGAGAAGGAGGAGGAGGAGGAGGAGGAGGAGGAGGAGGAGGAGGAGGGGGAGGAGGAGGAGGAGGGGGAGGAGGAGGAGGAAGAGGAGGAGGTGGAGGAGGAGGGGGAGGGCGAGGCGGGGAAAGATCCGCTGGACGGCTCCTCTCGGAGAGGTTCTCCTTCACCTCTATCCAGCTCTCCAGCTGCATGGCATCTGGGTAGAGCTTCACCATCTCCATCTGGCGGAGCCGCCCCGCCACGCGCCAGGTGCAGAGGGCGGGACGGGAGGAGAAGCAGGGAAGAGCAAGGAAGAGCGAGGAGGAGAAGGAGGAGGAGGAGGAGGAGGAGGAGGAGGAGGGGGCGGAGGCGGAGGAGCGGCAGCGTCTGAAGACAACAATGTCGTCAGGAACCAGGAACGAGGAGGAGGAAGAGGAGCAGGAGGAGGCGGAGGAGCGACAGCGTCTGAAGACAACAATGTCGTCAGGAACCAGGAACGAGGAGGAGAAGGAGGAGGAGCAGGAGGGGGAGGAGGAGGGGGAGGAGGGGGAGGGGGAGGTGGAGGTGGAGGTGGAGGTGGAGGTGGAGGAGCAGCAGCAGCCACAGGTGCAGGTTGGATGGCTCGCACCCATAGACCGCGCAATCGCCTCTGCTGCCTGCCTCGCGTGCCTGTCATCTTCCTTCCCTCTCCCGGCGGCGCGCACGAGGGAGGGGCGCGAGGGGGCGGCCATCTAAGATGACGGGGACGGGATCGCAGAAGGCAGGGGATGCTCTTAGCAGGGAAAAGGGGCATCTGAGAAGGATTCTTGGAAGCCGGCAGGGCGTCCGAGAAGGCAGCCCGAAAGGACGCAGCGGCGCTGCGGCCGACCGAACCCAACCGACCGAGTGCAGCCCACTGTGAAGAGGCCGAGCCGACCAAGCCGCGGTGCACTTGCTTCCGAGGCTGCCAGAGGCGCTTCAGGCCCAGGGCGCCCCGAGGCCCAGGGTGTCCCCATGGGGCCCTCGGGGCCAACGCCCGAGCGCTCTCCTCCCCCTCGCTGGCGGCGCGCACGAGGGGGGGGCGCCAGTGGGGGGTAGCCTTCCAAGAAGGCGGGCTGCCTCCTAGAAGGCTGGGAGGGCTTTCTCTGGAGGCCCCAGAGGCTTCCAGTCAGGCTCCCGAGAGGCCGGGATGGCTCCTGAGAAGGCCCCTGCCTTCTGAGAAGCCCCTGCTGGGCTTCTGAGAAGGCCACCCCCGTCGCGCCACCCCCCCCTCGTGAGCGCCGACGAGGGCGGGGAGGGAAGATGACAGGCGCACGAGGCAGGCAGCAGAGGCGATGACGTGGCCCGAGGACGCGAGCCACCCAAACCACACAGTCGGGCTTCCTCGTCTCTCAGCCTGCTCCTGCGGCTGCGACTGCTGCTATCGCTGCTCCTCCTTCTCTTCCTCCTCCTCCTCCTCCTCCTCCTCCTCCTCCTCCTCCTCCTCCTCCTCCTCTCCTCCTCCTCCTCTCCTCCTCCTCCATCCTCCTCCTCCTCCATCCCTGCTCTCCCTCCTCCTCCTCCTCCTCCTCTCCTCCTCCTCCTCCTCCTCCTCCTCCTCCTCCTCCTCCTCCTCCATCCCTGCTCCTTATAGAAAGCTCCTCCCTGTCGCACCACCAGACGCGTCTGTAGACCAGCCTGGGCGTTTCACTTGAGACGTCTGGGCAACTTACGACTTACGATCATGAGACTTACGTATCCCAACAATTGCAAGGATGGAGGCCAGTATGTTCTCAAAACCAGGGTCTCACATTCAGCGCCGCGCACAAGCACACAGCAGATACACCGAAGAAGGCCGACCAGTCTTCAATGTGTGGCTCTCGCCAGAGGCTTTCTCACAATACTACCGCGAGTGGACAATGGCCGACGGCTGTATGGATGGAGGGCGGCTTCTTCTTCAAATCGGGGTAGTATGACCTTCTCCTGCGGCTCCGATCCACAATGTTTTATGTACGTATGCTCCTATATATTGGGCCTCTCTTGGGGCACGAATCTTCCCTAGGATGTCCCAGGAGGCTCCAGAAGGCCCCAGGAGGCCACGCGAGGCTCCAGGAGGCCCCAGGAGGCCACTCGAAGCCCCAAGAGGCCCCAGGAGGCCCCAAGAGGCTCCTTGAGGCCCCAGGAAGCCCCAGGAGGTTTCAGGAGGCCCCAGGAGGCCTCAGGCTCATGCGCAGAGTCGCGCTCGTACTACTGAGACTCTTTCACATTCCAGTTCTTTCGCAGTTAGATTCATGACCAGACCGTCACAACTAAAGCCCGCTTATATTCGAAAACTCTTGCGCCTAGACACTCACGGCGGACAGGTCCATGCGAATATATGCACATATGGGGAGCTCCACGAAGTGAATAATTATTGTGACCGCGTGGACCTTCCTCTCACACTCCCTCCTCCCTTCTCCTCCTCCCCCTGATGACGCTCTCCCTGAGTATGATGGCGACGATGATGATGCAGATGGTATGCTATGTTGCCTTATGTTAGATTATGACATGTTATGGGATGTGCTGCTGTGTTATGTCATGTTAGTTGGTGATGGCGATCATGATTATGATGCTGGTGACGATGACGATGATGATGACGATAATGATGAAGATGATGATGGTGATGATAATGATGATGCTGACGATGATGCTGATGATGATGACGATGATGATGATGATGATGACGATGATGATGATGGTTATGATGATGATGATGATGATGATGATGATGATGATGATGATGATGATGATGATGATGATGATGATGATGATGATGATGATGATGATGATGATGATGATGACGATGACGATGACGATGACGATGACGATGATGGCGGAGCAGGTTCTGCGGGTCTCGAGCGAGGCGTGGGTTTCAGCACCCCCACGGGGGAGCCGCCAGGGGGTATCTCACTCCTCCGTTCGCGCGAATATGGCGGGGATGTCTCGAGCGATTTGCTTGTTTGCATGCCCAACGTCCTCCGCTTTCGGAGCAGATTTTGAAGATGTCTCAAGCGAGGCGCCCATTTCCACCTCCAAGGGGGGCCAGATCTTGAGGATGTCTCGATCGGTTTGCCTGTTTTGGTGGCCAGACTCGTGGGCACAGATTCTTTCCAGGATGCCACAGGAGGCTCAGGCAGGCTCCAGGAGGCCCCAGGAGGCCCCAGGAGGCCCCAGGAGGCATCAGGCGGCCACAGGAAGACGCAAGGGCCCACAGGATGTCCCAAGAGGCTTCAGAAGGCCCTAGGAACTTCCAGGAGGCCTCAGGACGCTCCAGGATGCTCCAGGAGGCCTCAGGAGGCCCCAGGAGGCCACAGGAAACGCCAGGAGGTACCAGGAGGCCCCGGAAGGCAACAGGAGGCCCCGAGAGGCCCCATGAGCAGGAGGCCTCAGAAGGCAACAGGAGTGGCTCCAATCCCATGTGTTTTACGTATGCTCCTATAGATTGGGCCTCACCTGGAGCACGAATCCTTTATCTTGTATGTTTCTAAGTGTCCTTATCCTGTGTATCCAATCCTAAATATTTTACGTATGTTCCTATAGATTGGGCCTTCCCCTGGGGCACGAGCCCTTCGTGTTTTACGTGTGTTCCTATATTTTGCCCTTCTCCTGCGGCTCCGATCCGCAATCTTTTGCGTATGTCTGTTTCTATAGATTGGGCCTCTCCTGGGGCACGAAGACCTTGCGATGGGTTCAGATCACAACCGGTCGCGTGAGATCACAACCGGACGGTTCAGATCACAACCGTCTAAAACACCAGGCACGGTCAGATCCCAACCGAGGAGGAAGCGAACAAAGTAAACAGATTATAGTGTTACCGTACTTGTTCATTGCTATCTGAAATTGCAATGGACACCTTACTGGAGCAGATTTACGCGTAAGCTATTGCGGTTGGGATCTCGCGCGTCTTTTGCTGGATCGTAGTAGTAGTAGAAGTAGTAGTGGTAGCCGTAGTAGTAGTAGTAGTAGTAGTAGTAGTAGCAGCAGCAGTAGTAGTAGTAGCAGTAGTAGTAGTAATAGGAGTAGTCGTAGTAGTAGTAGTAGTAGTAGTAGTAGTAGTAGTAGTGGTAGTAGTAGTAGTAGTAGTAGCAGTAGTAGTAGTAGTCGTGGTAGTGGTAGTAGTAGTAGTAGTAGTAGTCGTAGTAGTAGTAGTAGTAGTAGTAGTAGTAGTAGTAGTAGTAGTAGTAGTAGTAGTAGTAGTAGTAGTAGTAGTAGTAGTAGTAGTAGTAGTAGTAGTAGTAGTAGTAGTAGTAGTAGTAGTAGTAGTAGTAGTAGTAGTAGTAGTAGTCGTAGTAGTAGTAGTAGTAGTAGTAGTAGTAGTGGTAGTGGTAGTAGTAGTAGTAGTAGTAGTAGTAGTAGAAATTTGTAATAGCAGTAGTAGTAGTAGTAGTAGTAGTAGTAGTAGTAGGTAGGTAGTAGTAGTAGTAGGTAGTAATAGTAGGGGTAGTACTGGCGGGAGGGATTAGTACTATTCATTGGCGGGTAGTTAGTAGTAGTTAGTAGTAGTAGTAGTAGTAGTAGTAGTATCAGTAGTATGTTGTAGTAGTAGTTTGTAGTAGTAATAGTCGTAGTAGTATAGTCGTAGTAGTAGTGTCGTTAGTAGTAGTAGTAGTGTAGTAGTCGTCGTCGTCGTCGTCGTCGTCGTCGTCGTTCGTCGTCGTGTCGTTCGTCGTCGTCGCGTTCGTCGTTTAGTAGTAGCAGTAGTACTAGTAGTAGTTAGTGGTGGTGGTGGTGTTATTTATAAGGTGGTGGTGTGGTGGTTGGGTGGTGGTGGTGGTGGTGGTGGTGGTGGTTGGTGGGTAGTAGTAGTAGTAGTAGTCGTAGTAGTAGTAGTAGAAGTAGCCGTTGTAGTAGTTAAAAGTAGTAGTAGTGATAGTAGTAGCAGTAGCAGTAGCAAGTAGCGAGCAGTTAGCAGGAGCTAGCCAAGTAGTACTAGTAGTTTGTAGTAGTAGGTCGTAGTAGTAGTTAGTAGTAGTAGTAGTAGTAGTATGTAGTAGTCGTAGTAGTAGTAGTAGTAGTAGTAGTAGTGAAAGTTAGTTAGTAGTAGTAGTAGTCGTAGTAGTCGTCTTCGTAGTCGTTTTAGTAGTAGTAGTAGTAGTAGTAGTAGTAGTAGTAGTAGTTAGTAGTAGTTGTAGTAGTAGTTGTTGTAGTGGTGGTGTGGTAGTAGTTGTAGTTAGCTATAGTAGTAGTAGTAGTAAGTAGTAGTAGTAGTTTAGTAGTAGTTGCAGTAGTAGTAGTAGTAGTAGTA